GCAATTCAGAGAGGTGGGTGGGGGGAGGAGAGTAGGCCCATAATAGGAATAGACCGGAATTTCTTGCAAACTGGACAATAATTAGCCGTCTGGGTGGGATGAGGGGCTGGATATCGCGCAGAGATCTTATTCTGGTCGTATTTTAATCATCCCTGCAAATTTAACAGTTCAGAGTTTGATATCCGTGTGTGTGTGTGTGAGAGAGAGAGATGTACGCGGTGTGTCGTTTTGTTAGCGGACTCCCGAGATGTTCGATTCGAAATACCGATCAGTTATCCAGCACAAGACCTGAAGGTTCAGATGGTGAAATATTTTTGGATAAAGCCATCAGTGTATCCACCTCGGACACATGAGGCGTGGATGGAAATGCAACTTACTCGATTGCTAGAGAGAAAACGGGGATTTTTTTAAAATAATGTTTCAAAGGCGGGTGGGGGGAGGAGGAGGTTATCCAGTGCAATGGATGAAAAATGTCTCTCGGGCTCTCGGTGAAGTTAAAAAGACAGTGAGCGGTACCAGAGATAGTAGGAACTGCAGATGCTGGAAAATCTGAGATAACAAGGTGTAGAGCTGGATGAACACAGCAGGCCAAGCCTTTCTGGAGAAGGGTCTAGGCCCGAAACGTCAGCCTTCCTGCTCCTCTGATGCTGCTTGGCCTGCTGTGTTCATCCAGCTCTACACCTTGTTATCTGTGAACGGTACCGATGCTGTGGGGGCGAGGCCAACCGCTCTCCTCCAATGGTTAATCAGCAAGGCGCGGTTGCTGGGGGGGCAGCCCAATGAGCGGGTTGGTGGGCGGGGCCAGTGCGGAGGGTGTTTCCGTGTTGCCCCGCACTGTCATGCCGGCACTGGGCGAGCCCCCGGCCTCTGAAACACACTCTCACTCGAAAGATGCGATGCAGCCCGGTGCAGTTCCGGCGAATTCGCTATGATCTGTCTTTTATGTTAAGCAGCAGAACCATCCCCCTTCTGGGTGAAGATTCCTGTTCTAGTTGGAATTGTTCAGCACCCCCACACACTTAATAAATTAAATGATGTACAGAATTTCAAATTAATATTATATAATATACACATTAGATATATGGAACAGCATATTAACATATAGGATCTATATATAGTGTAGGGGTCAGTTAGCTGGTTTGTAATACAGAGGGATGCCTCCAGTGTGTTCAATTGCTGCACGAGAGGTGTCACAACAAAGGACTCTCCTTCTCAACCTGTCTCCCCTCATGTGGTGTGATGAGTTGGCTTGTCTTTATTGACCAGTGCATCAAGTATAGGAGTTGGAGGTCATGTTGCAGCTGTACAGAACATTGTTTAGGCCACTTTTGGAATACTATTGGCAATTCTGGCCTCCCTGAAAGGATGTTGTAAAATTGGAAGTGTTCAGGAAAGGTTTCCAACGATGTTGCCCGGTTTGGAGGCTCTGACCTCTTAGAATCCCTACAGTGTGGAAACTGGGCCCTTCAGCCCAACAAATCCACACCAAACCAAACCTCAGAGCATCCCACCCAGACCCGTCCCCTTGTAACCCACCTAACCTACACCTCCCTGAACACTACGGGCAATTTAGCATGGCCAATCCACCTAACCTGCACATCTTTGGACTGTGGGAGGAAACCAGAGCACCCGGAGAAAACCCACGCAGACACAAGGAGAACGTGCAAACTCCACACAGACAGTCACCCGAGGCTGGAATTGAACCCGGGTCCCTGGTGCTGTGAGGCAGCAGTGCTAACCACTGAACCACCATGCTGCCCTATGGGGAGAGGCTGAACAGACTGGGGCTGTTTTCCCTGGAGCATCAGAGGTGGAGGGGTGACCTTTGTAGATGTTTATAAAATCATGAGGGGCATGGACAGGGTAAGTAGACAAGGTCTTTCCCCTGGGTGGGAGAGCCCAAAACTAGAGGGTGTAGGTTTAAGGTGAGAAAGGAAAGATTTATAAGGGAAACTTTATCACAGAGGGTGGTGTGTGTATGGAGTGAGCTGCTAGAGGAAGTGGTGGAGGCTAGTACAATTACAACATCAAAAGGCATCTGGATGGGTATATGAATCTATGACCCCCAGATTAAAGCACCGTTAGACATCTCTCTGTAATGAGAGAGCAGCCCTATGGTCCAGCAGGACTAGAGAGACTTACCCTTTTAGGGGTAAAGACTATTCTGATGGTGTGGGTGATGTGTGGCCAACTTGGTTCTCTCAAAGACTTAGCGGTCATCTACATAGTTTCAAAATAATATAGAGTGGCATATTAAACATTATTAATGAGGTATAAATACCAGTGTGATGGACCAGTTGATGCTGAATGACCAAGCAGTGCTTTCAGGGGCTTTATAATCCCTGTCATGATTCCAGGTGTACTTTCTGATTATATCTTGGGGGACTTGGCCATCCAAAGTTACCATGCTGCAAGTGACTATTAAACCTACCATTCCCGTGCCAGCACCTTGGAAGAATACAAATCCAATTTCCCAGTTACCTTTCTGTAGCCTCATTCTCATTCCATTCTTGATATTCTGGTAAATAGAAGACATATACTTGTGGCATAGTCTGCTTCTCATTTTGTAGTAAATGGGACTTGAGTGAAAACTTAGTTCAGTTATGTCTAGGTGTAAGTTCTAGGTTGAATCTTAACTGGAGTTAAGTGATTTTAAGCAAGGAACGTACCACAATTAGTTTCTGTACCATTGTGAGGGAGTGATCTTTATTGGAAACTCTCTGGGTGTGGAGGCTCACTGTCAAGGTTCTCTGATCAAACAGCCCAATAAAGTTCACTGGGATTATATGAGGGGCAGCATGGTGGCTCAGTGGTTAGCACTGCTGCCTCACAGTGACAGGGACCCAGGTTCAATTCCACCCTCTGGCAACTGTGCAAACTCCACACAGACATTCTCCCCATGTTTGCATGGGTTTCCTCTGGCTTCCTCCCACTGTCCAAAGATATGCAGGCTGGCTGGGTTGGTCATGCTAAATTGCTCCATAGTGTTCAGGGATGTGTAAATTAGGTGAGTTATGGGGACATTGGTCTAGGTGGGCTCTAAGGGTTGGTGTGGACATTTTGGGCTAAAGTGTCTGTTTCCACACTGTAGGGATTCTGTGATTCTATGAATATCCATATAAATAATTGCCTGCTGGATAAGGTACAAGACATTGTCTATGATGCAATTCACCAGAAATGAAGACTTTTAAAAACCAATCATTCTGTAGATTTGTTTTGAATAACTTTAGCTGCAAGCTTCTACTTGAAGCTTTAGAGAAAATTAGAAATTCAGATGGAGGTACATGTCTTATAAAGTCGTTACAGCAATCATCACTGCAATAATAACTAGTAGCGGAATCTTGTGTTTGATCCATGCAAAGTGACCAATTCATTTCCAGAAAAAGATGGTTGGATGCTATGGACTAGGAGGGAATGAGACTGGAAATATTGAGAGTTTTGCCCTTTGTTAACTTGAAATAGTCAAGTTAAATATTTAACTGTCTCCAGTTAAATGATCTATGTGGATTATTTAGAAATTACATAGGCCAAGAAGGAAGGAGTGGTGCACATACTTGGTAAACCAGATGAAAAGTACAGAAATTTGTTCAAATGCTGCACTGTTGGTCACAAGTGTCTACTACAGTCAACTCTTTCGTATTCAATATGCCTGAAATCTTCCATTGTTGACTATAATTTTTCAGCAAAGAAGCCACTCCTAGTTTGTGACCTTCCCACAATGCAACATTGCTGTAAATGTCATTGCTATTATTTTCAAA